ACAAAGAGCCATCAGAAAATGTTTTTCCAATATACATTTTTAACCAGGGTTTTCTGAACCAGCATTTGCATCTTTAAAGGTAAAGGTCAATAAGAACACAAACAAAGGATAGCACTTTCAGCATTCTTATGTTAGATAAAATGTCTCTATAAAAAACAATTGATTATCAAAATGGAAAAACTTGAGGATATGTTGATTTGGGACCATGGCATATTCATCAGAAGTAGTAGTACTCATGGCAGTAGCTGTTAATGGTGATTAGAAATTTTCCTTTGCTTACTTTCTTAAATGCTGATGAAAAAGTTAATATTGTTAGAAAGGCTCGAAGATACAGGAGCAATCATAACATCTTTAACATGTGATGGGCCAACTTTTAATTTTTTTATAATGAATGCTTTAGAAGCTAATCTGAATTTAATAAATTTACAACCTTCATTTTTACATCTCTCAAATCATTGGACAAAAATGTATTGTGTTTAATAAAGTTAGTTCGAAACAATTGGGCAAAATTAGTAAAATTCTTTGATGATGAAGGAGAAATTGTTGACCTCACTAAGCAGCTACATTCAGTACAAGAAGACAGTGGATTTATGAAAATGCCTTTAAAATAAAACAAAGAAGATTTATTTGTCACCAGTGTTTGCCATAAAGTTTTGCAAACGATCAGCTTATTTAGATAATAAAAAAAAATATAAATTAAAAAATTCGCCGGTTTCAAAATTACCCTAAAGTTAGTGTTTTCACATCACAAATTTGGTTTGTGCTGTGCTTTTGTGCTAAAGTTGTCCCTGTTCACACCGACCAACGTCATGGCCACCATGTAAGTCATACGCAAAGGTGCAAAGACCTAATAGTATAGGACTTACAAAATAAATATCCTCCATTCGTTGCTGCATGGATTGCTTAAAATTTTCTCAAATATGTATTGTTACTAGCATTCCAGCAACAGTCAGTTCAGTGGTTTTGACCCAATATTGGCAGTAAAAACAAAATCTAATTTATTTAATAACATAAACATGATAACTTCCAGTAGTAAAAAATATCACAATTGTTAACATGTATAATTAACAATAAATGTTTGTGATTAAAATACATTAAATAAAACTTGTTGTGTTATTTATGTGGTACCATGAGCGCCATTAGCCAAAATTCCAGGGAATAGCGAAGAACAAAACTTATGTTGTATTAAATTATTTTATTTGAAGGCAATTGTGCAACATAAACATTTTTACAGGTTGTGAAAAAAAGGTAGGTCATAAATTATAGACAGAGATAACAGTAACTAAGACATTCTAAAGGACACAGGACGGTATAATATCCGCGGTTGTCACGCCTACTTCATTATTCTCGTTTTGTTAACAAAATTATTTACATATCTTAATAAAGCTTACATAATTTACCATATTTTATTGCAACTGAACCTAAAACAATTTGAATCATTAGTTTATATCAAATTTTCGCAACGAAATCGAGACAGGCGTAACAAAAAAGCTACAAAAAATGAGCAGGATACGAGCTGGTGCCGCTACAAATATCCGCTAAGCTAGCGGATCCGCGCTTTTCTCAGGTTTAGTACAAGCTACAAAAGGGAGACTGGCGTAACAAAAAAATTACGAAAACCAGCTGGGTCTGAATCTGTGTCGCTACTATGGAAATTCAAGCTAGCAGATCCGCTGCTTTTTCGGACCTGGGTTAAGCTACAAATTCGCAAATAGCGTAACAAAAAAAGCTACAAAAACCCACCAGGTCTTGTATGGTGACGCACAAAGTGCCCGCTAGCTTGATGTAGCCTTTTTTTTATATCATGTCCATTCCCTTTCCAGCCACCATCTAAAATCAAGCATATATTCTAAATAATTATAGATTTGAGTTGTTGGTTTTTGATATTCATGTGTTGTGAACTTGGTATATGGGAAGCAGAATATGTCTTTAGAAATTAAGGTGAGAACTACGTAAATAATGCTTGCTGGTTTTGTTAGACATGAGTAGGTATTGTTTTATTATAGTTAATTTAAAACAATATTAATAAAACTACTGTTAATCAAATAATTTGTATAAATCCTTTTTAATTACCTATATTTTGTTTCAGATTAGTGCATTTAAAGGAATTGGTGGAAATGAAGCAATTTACCAGTTTTGGGGCTGTGCCAGTAAAAATAACATCCAAATTATTCAACGTTTCCAGGATTAAGTATTGGGGAGCATCGTCGATCCATCCTGGTACTGCTGTAATACTGATCTTTATGGGGACCTTAAAGTGGAGACTGTTGAAAATACAATACAAAAATTTGCCAGTAGTCATCAACAATGTGTAATGAAGTCAATTTTCATTACTATATTTCGGCCTATTCCGGATATAAATTTCAATTTTTATTTTTTATTTTATTTTAACTTCATGGGTAGACCCTGTATATAAAATTTTGTTTCATTTAAATTCGCGTATTTTACCTGAGTAACGAAAGCGCGCGCGCTTCGCGCACATCGAGTGGGGAGCTAGCCTGCTTGGGCATAGAGACTGGAATTCAGAATTCGGATTATTAAAAATAATTCAATTCACGTTACCGATTCGACTAGCTTCTCCTCTTTCTGCTCCGATATACACCGCTGAAAATTATCGCCGATACCGTAGTTAGGTACATCGAATTTGTTTACATATTTTTTTTTGTCGACGGTTCTTGAGTTAAAAACGTTCGAATACCGGTTTCATTTGAAATAATTATTCCGTTTTCGATTTTATTTAAGAGAAATAATAATTGATTTCAGATTTTCGTTAAAAATATTTTGATTTACAGATAAATTATTTAGTTTTGATTTTATTTAGAAACATTGAAAATTAGTTTTTTTTTTTTTTTTTTGGTTATTAGGAAATAGAAACTTTGTTTCTATTTTAATAATTAATTAATTTTATTACGACCGTGAAGTGTGTTTCTATTTTACAGTAATAGTAAACCTAATTTCAAATTAAATTCCGTATACAGTTGATTAGTTAATTTTCATTGCGACCGTGGATTTTGTTCCTAATTTTTTTTTAAGTAATAATAAATTTAAATTAAATTCCGTACATAGTTAATTACTTAACTTTTACTACGACCGTAAATTTTGTTTCTATTTATTCACAATCTGGTTTAAATTTTTTTTTATTTATGTTTCTTTATTTGGGAATAGAATTAGTTCGAAAGTTGGAAAGTTGAAATAGTATCATTTTTCATGTCGAGTGGACTGGTTGTGGCGAGAAAGCTCACATGGGATTAGATACTATCCCGGTTTTAGATTTTATTTAAATTAACCCCTATCCGTGATTAACATATTAGTGTTTTTCTTATGTTTGAGAGTGCTGGTTGTGGCGAGTACACTCATCATAGGATAAATACTGACCCGGTTTGATGTTTGGTTTTGTGATTGAGTGGGCTGGTTGTGGCGAGTACACTCATCATAGGATTAAATACTAACCCGGATTTTGATTATTTTCTTTTAGTTACCTCCGCGCCGTGATTAAAATGATAGTATCATTTTTATGTTGAGCGTGCTGGTTGTGGCGAGTGCACTCCTCATAGGATTGATACTATCCCGTTTTCTTATCATTTATCTATTCCCCATTCACTAAAACAAGGAGGTTTGTTTCAGTTTCAATACCGACTAGAGAGTTAACCAGATAACTTTTTCTACGACCGTGATTTTAATTTTTTTTTACGAAACAAAATATTTAACTTTAATCTTTATGCCGATTTAAGAGTTAACTAATTAACTTTTGCTACGACCGCCATTATTTGTTTTTGGTTTAGTTTTGGCTCAACCACCGATCCGATAAATTTATTAATTAGATACTATTGCCACCGAGCATCTTTCTTCTAATTTTATTTCTACCGTCTGATTGAGACTAATCATTACTGGCCGATCTGTTTGTTTTTATTTTGTTTAGGGTTTTAAAATTACGAGCGGGGGTGGGCGTTGAAATAATACTTAATTTTTTTTATTTGTAAATAGTTAAAAATTCAATATATGTGTCAACGTTACCTTGACTGTTACTGGAGTTACTGAACCCTAATTTACTTCCCCCTTTATTTCAGCAGTGAGAAATTCTTTATCACCACAAGCAACGATTAAAGCCCGTTACTTGTGGTTACTTATTACCTGTGTCTGAGTGACCAACGACCCCTGGAATTTTTCATCTCCATCTGTGCTGCCCGAGTACTTTCGACGCCGTTTCGAAAGTTTGTGGAGTAAACCACACATCAAATCTGGCGCCCGAGAGCCGTCCCGTCAACAGGCGTCATTTGTAAGTAATCGTTTTCTCTGAGGCGAGAAAACCCCTTACAAATGACTGCTCCAACATGGAAACCTTGAGATTATACAGCTCCTCAAAAATGCCAATCTAATAAGAAGATTCAAGAGAACCAAGCTTTTTAAGTTAGTTCAGTGATATTAGATTAAAACAGTATAGTTCGGCTAAGTGTTATACGTTACGGTAGTGTAACTAAATAATTAGACTCTAAAGTACACTACATAGTGAGTAGAATCTTAGTTTATGAAGTTTTTCATACCTAGATAAGTTAGGTAAAAATAAAATTGCTAATTGATCTTAATGATTGGATTATAATAATCATAAATGTTTTTTTACTTGGAGCATTTATTAAAAAAAAAAAAAAAAACGTTTTTATGAAATATTCTTTAAAACTTATTTATTTATTTGTTTAAGAATCGATGTTTTAGTTTTGTTTATTTTAAATAAACATGTAGATTTTTAAATATTTTTTTTTTGTCTAATAATATAATAGAAAAAAAAAACTAGAATACATTTCAGAAATGTTTCGTAATATTTATACCACATTGCAAATGTTTCAATGCAACATTGTTGAAATATTTCCGAAATGTGTTTGTACTGTATGGGTTGTATATTTACTTTTTATTAACCATTTATTTACTGCAAATCCATCTAATGCTGGTAGAAATTCCCAACAGATGCTTCTTTATAAAAACAATGATACAGTTAAAGAAATGGCCCCTACAGTAAAAACGTACTAAATTATATTTGGGGTACTAGAGTACTAAAACTCTGAAAAGGGAGTAGATTTAGTGGGCATTGATATGGCAAACCTGTGGACCTTTTAGCTTCGACTGAGTGAATGATATACAGTTCCATAAACTAGTTAGTTTTGATCATTTAATTTTTTTTTGTAATTTAGCACATTTGGATTCTTTGGCGCATCCTTTTCTGAATATTTACAGATTATCATGATTTAAAGTAACCTTATAAACATGAAAAGCATATTATTATATAAAATATTTATTGATTTTTAATTAAAAATATAATCATTTTGGAGCTCCATAAGCATCAGGCATTCTTTCAATTGTGTACTTGTGTTGAGCAACATACATAATAGGAACACCTGGTATCTTCCTTAATCTTCTCTTTAAATCTTTATCATTAGTAGCAACTATATAGCATTTATGTTGCGTCACTCTCTGTACAAGGCAGTCGTCAGCATAAGTACCTTTGTGCATGCAATGTATTCGTTCAAATCTAGGATCTTTGATAATTCTTAAGGCTACTCTGTATTTTTGTCCTAATTTTTCCAATTCTGCAAGAACACAATCTGTAATATATGGTATGCATTTCGCATACAAGCAATCCATCATATTTTGAATTACATCTAATTTATTTTTAATTGAAAAGTTAATGAAATTTGTATCCAGAAGAATGTGGTAAGGAGGACCCAACTGTGTATTATACTGGAAAAATAAAGCTGAACTCATTTGCGGTTGCTCGTGAATTTTTAGTTTGTGTGGATCTTCCTCTTTCTTTTTTCTAGGAGCTTGTCTCAGTGATTCTTTTATGCGAGGGTCACTTAAACTTATCATTTTTTTCATTTTTGCGAAACGTCGTTCCACAATCTTTCTGGTTTTCTTTGCTTTTCCCTAAAATATAAAACAAAAATTATTATTTAAGTAAAAAGAAAGGTAAAACTTTATACCATTATTCCCTTTTTAAATTAATAATAACAGAATAATAATTTATTTATTTTTTACTAAACAGATGGAAAAGATTTTTATCTTCTTCTTTTTTTACTGAGTACCGACGTGACAAGGACAGTAACATAATTGAACTTTAGATTGCATCAATTAAAAGGCCACACGCCATTGGAAATGAAGAAGAAGAAATATCGGATATCAGAAAAAATAAATAATTACTGTGGATTAATTAATTTTATGTTGTGATATTTTATTAAATTGTGAGTGTATATGTATATACACCTTATTATGTAATATTAATGAACAGTAATGAAATTATATTGTTTAATATTTTAAATTTGATACTTTAATTATATATAAAGATGTCCGAAAAAGATCAAGAAAAAGGTCCTGAAATTGTCTCCGATCAAGAAAGAGAAGTTGCTCAGAATGCTCTAACGGAATACAAAAAGTAAGTATTTTAATATGTACAATTCTATTTTTTGAATTAATGCTGAATCCGTTTTTTGTAGAAAAAAATTTTCCGCTTGTTTGCAATTGATAAATAAATTAGAAGATAGAAATGCAGATCTTAAAGTACTTCAAAACAAAGCGATAGTCGAATATTGTAAAAGTGATTTTAAAAAAACTGAACAATTTCAGAAAAATTTAACACACATATGCAATCAGGTAATCAATTTTTAATATAAAATATTAGAAGTTCTACTTTTCCTATCCACTACAGGAATAACTGTTGCTGTGTTTAAATATCCACATCTGATGCATTTTTTTACATCTCGAGCGTTTGTTTGTCCACCTCAACACATCTGTCCTAATAAATTTACATATCTTGAACCACTTGATAAAAGTTTTACAACATCTTAAATGCATTCAATGTGGATTTTAAATGCAGCAAATAGATATAGATAAAATAATTTCGATCCTTTAACACACATTGAATTATTTTTAATTTTTTACACAATATTATTTTCAGTTTCAAGTGAAAGCCAACAAATTAGATGACATTGATCAATGTATTATTCAATATAATCAAGCAGTATTGCTTTATCATCAGAAGCAATTTACTACTGCACAAAGAATAATGGATAAAGTTTATAAATTTATTGAACCAATGGGCAAGTAAATAGGTTTTTTCTTATGTAGTAATAATTTTCAATATACATGGCATCACTAGTAAGAGCGAGAGATGTGGAGTTTTAATTGTTACAAACACATATCCCTCAAAAAGGGTTACAATAAAGGCAGTGTCAGTCGAACAATTATTTGTTAGCATCCAAGTTGATAATATGGAATTAGTAATATATACTTATACAGGAAAATTATATTTAGCTTCTTTTATTAATTAGTTAAAATCTACAAACCCTCTCCAAGTAACATTTTTAAGAGAATAAAGTTTTATTTATGTTTTATTAGGATTTTGTAAAAGCATAAAAATTAACAATTATTTTATTACAGTTATTTTTTTTGCTAATAGGACTGCAGGATAATTTGGTTTTATAGATTCCTTTAAATCTGTTTAAGAAAACTAATTTATCCTAAAGTAAACTATGCTTTATCGCTGTCCTGTAAGGGTTAATTAATAAGTAATTTTAAAACTATTTAGTTTTAAGATACTCCTAAGGTGTGTTTGGTGTTAAAGAGGCATACTTTTTAGCATTTATCTTAAGTAGGTTTTAAAACTTATCTTTAAAAAGTGTTTTAGGATTATACTTTAAATTAAATTGATCCCAGAACCTTTTAGGTAGATTTTCTACAATTTTACAACATAACTCTTATAATTTATTTAATCTAGTAAACCATAGGGCTCTTTTAAAACTACATAGTTTTAATAGGAATTAAAGTTTGTTTTAGAGCATAACCTAGCTTTTCAACCCAATCACATTATGTTGACGTTGAAAGATAAATTGTTCAAAATAAAGAAAAGTTGTAATTTCCATAGAGAATGAAAAAAAAAATGTATATGTTTCTCCTTTTCCTCAGTGTTTAATAAGTTCATTGTAGGGGGTGGGTGGCTCAGTGGTAGAGTCTCTGCCTGTGGATCCAAGGGTCCCAGGTTCGAATCCCACTGTTGGCCGGGATTTTTTTATTTAATTTAATTATTTAAAATTAATTCTGATGCCTTGGTAGGATTCCCCACTCGACCATTCACTGTTGGGTTCTAATTAACAGTGCTGTTCCTAAAGTGGCGCAAGGAAACAGTAACAAGGCCTGTCTGTAGGGGTGTAGGAGTATTAGATTACTAATACTCCTTCACTATGGAGTACTAGACTACTAGTACAATCCATAACCTACATAGAACATTAGGCTAATGACCTTAGATGTTGAAGCCCTACACCAAAGAAAAAAAAATAAGTTCATTGTGTTCCATTGTTTAACAAATATCAAAATATTCCTAGGCTTCTAATATTCTGGAAATGATCAGTCAAAGAGAGAAATGGTTAATATATTATTACTAATTTTTATATTTTGAATGACTTGTTCGTAGAGTAAATAAGAAGCTCAAGAGTGTGGTTAGGTTATGTCCTTCTGATTGAACTTATGTTTTATTAAGGTTTTCGTTTTTACTGTTGTTTTATGAAACGCTTTAAAAAGTGTAGCAGGAGCTTTTTAAAACTGGAAAATCCTAAAAAGTATTTTTTTTGCCTCATTAGTTTTATAAGCTAATGTCCTTTTTTAGGTACAGATAGAATACAATTAGGAAATCCTCCATTTTAAATATGGCAGTGGCTGTTTAACCACATGTCATGTAAAATAGTACCTGTCTACCAGACCTGTACCTAAAGAATGTTCAAATAAATTATGGTCAAAGTTCAAATAATTCTAAAATCTTTCGATTTTAGTAATGACCTATTTTCTGTACCAAAGACAGTGATAGTGTATCAATGACAACAATGTGTCAATGACAACAGTGTGCCAATGACAACATTGTGCCAAATAGTCACTTCCATGAAATAATTTGAAAAATACAAAATGTGACATTTTATATAAAAATCATATCGAAGACAAATGTAATCATTTTATAGTGCTATATATTCGATATTTACAATGTTATTTTCTATTAAATAACTTTCGGTAAATAGATTAGAATCCGTATAATAATCCTTTTTCACGTATATTTCATATATTGTAAGGGCCATCATTTATTACGACCCACCTTGCCCACTTTTAACAGTACTTTGGTGTGTGTTTGAAAATTAAAGAAATAACAAGTGTAACTAAACAAATTAAATATACACTATATAATAATTAATTTCTAATATGGCAGTCTTCCCAACATGTTTACAAAATCATTCTGTCAGAGAGTATGATAATACAGAATAAAGCTAAAACAGTTTAAAATTTAATTCTCTTAAAACTGATTAGTTTTGTAAAGTTTTTATGCCTATCCCACTTATTATCACTATCTTAAAAAAGATTTAAAAATGGTTTAATAAAATTCTTAATATACCTACTCTTACGGACTTTGTCTTAAGTCTAATTAGTCTTAAGATATTGTTTTAAAAAATACTCCTAAGAACCGTTATAGGATTCTCCCTTTTACTCTTAAAGCAGATTTATAGCAGCCATAAGGCTATCTCGCAGATTCAAAAGTTTTATCAGTGTCTTAAAAAAGGGTTTTATGGTTACCTTGTATACCTTGATAAATCTAAAAAGGTTACTTGGGATCCTGTTTACAATACTTTATTCTGAAGCACCTAATGTTTATATTTAAATGTAATTAACAATGTAAAGGCGTTTCTTGTCAATAAATAAATCAAATGTCTAGTTAAAATATTTTTTTTTTGCAGAAGAATCCTTAGCAAAACAAGTTAGTCTTCTTGCTATTGAATTACAATTATGTCTCAGACAACCTGATAAAGCTCTTACTTTGATTAATTATTTAGAAAATAATTTAATATATGGTGGAAGCATTCCATTAAAAGGTTTAGACAAGAATGGAAAAGAAAGAAAAGTATGTATATTCATTACATATTTATTTAATTATTATAATTGTGTCTTTTAGATACAATTACCCCCTCCGAAGCCTCTATCAGAAGATTTTGAACAAAAATTGTTAAAATATAAGGTCAGATGTTATATTATGAATCATTCTATAAAAATAGTGTTGAAAGAAGTAGAGGTGCTCCTGAAAGACAAATCCGTAAGAAAATTATGCATTTTTGATTAACATTAATAGTAAAGGAGCCCACTGCAAAAATGTTTGGTCGGTCAGTAGTATGGCTAAATTTTTATGGAGATGTCTGGTAACATATGGTGAAATAGTAATCTGTCAATAACGTTTGCGATCTACGATATAAATATTTGCTAATTATTTATCCTGCACCCATCACTTTTTTAAAAAAAATTCTATTCAATCATTAAATAATAATTTTAATTTTCTATACCTGGCCGCCGACCATCACACTTTGCATTAAAGGTGGCTGATGGGGTCGATAATGTTGTTATATTGTATATTGCTATTGTAGTCAAACTAAATATTGTTGGAAAGGTTGAGAAGTTACCAAAAAGAAAATAACCAGTTAGGTCTTCTTACATGACACGGTTGCCTAAGAAGACACATGAGTGTCATCATTGCAGCAGAAGAAACGACATTATGCAGATTCTGCGAAGTAGAAGAAGAGGAAACATCAATCCATGTCTTTTGCTAGTGTGAAGTTTCTAACTATGAAGTAATGTCGACCTTCACCCATCTGTTTACTGGATAAAAGTTTTTTTTTATATATATTTTTAAATATACTGCAAATGGGTTGCCTAGGAAAATATGGTCACAGCCATTTTTTACTTTCCTTTCTGTGTACAGATAAGAAAAGTATAGGAATCATGATAAAAGCTGCTTATGATGTCATTCTCTATTATTTTGTTCATATACATGATTTTCCTAAAATGGACCTAATTCGAGATATTTGAGGAAAAGTGCAAATTTCAAAAACGGATGAAGAGAAAAACACTAAATTTTAAACTTAAATTTTAAACTTAAATTTTAATCCATCCTATGGTGAGCTGATTAAAGTTTGGGCATAGTCGAGGCATCTGGGGAATATTTTACAGGGTCGTTTTTTTTTACTTTAAGAAAATAAATAGTCTGTGGACCGCATTTTCTTAGGCAACCCATTTGCGATATATTTATAAACACATTTTATTTAATAAAAAGAAACTTTCATCCATTAAACAGATGGGTGAAGGTCGACCTTACTTCGAATCTTAGACTATTATGGGAATTATACATAATTTTGTCAAAATAATAAAAATAAACTTGTTTATAGCTAAATAAAGCACAGAACATACTGTTGTATTTCTAAATAACGAGGTTATGAGAGTCAAATAATGTTATTTTTAACAGACACGTTATTTGTGAACAGGTTGTTATTTATGTGTGTTTATAAAATAACAGACCTGTTAAAAATAACATAGATTGTCAATCATAACCCCCGAAGTCTTGCATATTTTAATTGATAAATTATTTAATTTTATCTATATAAAATACAAATTAGGTACTTATGACTAAATTCGAAAAGGTTCCTTAAATGCTGAAATTTGATAAGTACAATTTTGTGGCAAATTTTTTTTTGAATTGAACTAATATATAGTTTTAAGTGTAAAATAAAATACAGTGAACAGATTTTTTATTGTTGTAATACAAGTATAAAGGGAGATTTAAGAATGTACATGGTATTACCTCATCCTTTAATTTCAGCTTTCCCCTTTTTATTTTGCTAACTACCATCAGTAAAAATAGTCTCGTAATATTTGATAATAATCTTCTAAAAAGTATAGAACAGAATCACCTCTAGAAAGTGCTTTATCGGCAGGAGAAACGATATATATGCTGCCACTGTTCTAAACGTTTAGTATCCTATAAAAAACATTTACAATGACACAATTGGGGACAAAAAAAAAATAACAGCAACTCTTTATCTAACAAAACTCTATAAAAAAATAAATTTTCTTTTCTAGTAAGTTAAATTTAGTACATAATTATTGTTGTTTGTAAGTCAGCATCTATAACTGTAAAATTTTATATTATAGAAACTTGTAATAAAATAAACTACACTTCGTAAGATACATTTTGTGACTAGTTTACAATAAATATTATATTTAGACATGAATACATTATTTTATTTACAACCATATATGTAATGTTGTCATTACTAACGTCATTGAAGGTTGGGAAGTGTCACATTACACACCTCTACTTCCCGCCCTCATTTCATCTATTCTAGATGAATATTTTTTATATTTAAAAAAATAACACATTTTTTTGACAAATTTTATAATACCTATTTAATGGCAAACAATAAAAAACAATGAACTAAAATACAAGAAACTACTTATTAATATTTATTATTCGCGAATTTAATATCCGGCTTTATCTGATATTTATTTATATTTGTGACAGTTGTTTACCCCGTAATCACAGTAACAATATATTTACTTGATTATTCTGAGAAAACCGCGCGCTTGGTAATTTGTCGTTAAATGTAATATTTTAGGTATGTTCAGAACGAAACAGAGATTTATTAAGTTTGATCGAAATATGATGGTTGTAAATAAAATAGTATACAAACCTCGGTAGGAAGTTTCATTCCTGTCTCGAGATCATAGCTAACCTCGACGCTTCGCGTCTCGGTGATCTAACTAATCTCACGACAGGAATGAATCTCTTCCCACCTCGGTGTGTAATATACTATTACTTACATTAGAAGATTTAAAAAGACATTGAATTAATTTCTTCTTGTGTTTTCTTTAGTTTTACATTTGATTTTTATCCTGTTTTACAATCTGAAACGACGTAAATCTAGCTTTAATGTTTTTTGTCACTCATGTTACTTGTACTTGGGTATTTTTTTTTTCACATTATTTTGATTTTTTCCACCAATCACTTCATTTTACATTGACTTACATAGAAAATTGACTACGCTGTTATTATACATGCCAACTACAGTCAAATTTGACCATTGCCGATTCGCCTCCTTCTCTCTAGTCTTCATATTTCTAACATTAGGCAAAGAAAAGCCAGATGCATGAGACTACATGTCAAAGCTACTAAGTCTAATAAAAAAGACCAAGCTAGATGACATATTCTAAATAAGGTTAGTCCCACAATAGATCTGAAAAGTTGTGCTGGACAATTAATGTCAAACTCCTTTCAAATCTATCCGACGTCTCAATGAAAATTTAGCCATACTAGCGATCAACCCAACATTTTTCAATAGGCTCCAATACTGTAAATAATATTCAATTTTAACTACCATTTTTTTTCTAGAACATAGATGCAAAATTTCTATCAGCCAATGTTGAATATTTAATTGGAAATTTTGAAAATGCTGTTAAAATTTTAACTTCTATTCCAATTGACAGTTTGGTGTACAGGTAAGATAAAGTAACCTTTTTTGAGTTTAAATAAATTACGTATAGTTTTTGTTTTAGTGATTGTGGTGAATCTTCAACTTTAATGTTCTATAATAATATGGGTGTAATTCATTACGCTATGGGTAAACCAAATTTAGCTTGCCATTACTTCCAAACTGCTCTGAAAGAAGATATTAGAATATTTCAAAATTTACAAAAAAAGGATGATAGTAAGTTTTATTTATAGCCAAATTTTCACGTAACTGAGTACTTTTCTTCTTATGAATAATTTTTGAACCAATATATTTGAATTTGAACAATTGATGGTTTACATGCATTTTCACTGTACTTCTTTAGATGAAAAACCTTTACATACTTTGGGAGGTTCCAAATATCACGAATTGATGTACAATCTGGGTATTGCTTTGTTACACGCCGGAAAACCTGTTCAAGCGTTCGATAGCTTAATTATAGCAGTGAGAAGGTATCACAGAAATTCAAGACTATGGATGCGAATAGCGGAATGCTGCATTATGGTGCATAAGGAGGTAAATTAGCATTTCTCATTTACGATATACAAGGTAGATCGTTAATTATTCGGCTAAACTTTAAGATGCTATTCCTTACTAATTGATTATTTAAAGTAATTTATTATATTCGAATAATCGTTTATGAATTCCCTATTGGATCTGAGCGATTATCAAAATATATAAACGAATATTTAAAATAATCGAGTACTTTCTTTTAATCGATTATTTCAACTATTTTCTAATAATCGATTATATTTTTAAATAAATCGATTAATCTATTATTTTTCCCATCAAAATCGATTATCAAAATATTAAATCGATCATTTTTTATTATTCAATTAATCGGTTATTTTTATAATTTAATTAATCGATAAATACTTTTTTTTTAAGAAGGGCGAGATGCTATTTTAGTAAACAAATATTTTACACTTTTAAACTAAATGGTCTGGATCAAAAAATTTACTTTTGGGCTTATTATGAGATATATAAAATAAACATGAAAAGCGAGAAAACAGTATCGCCATCTACGTAACTAATTGCAGGATACGCCTTAACATAAAATCGATAGTACCTAATTACTTCTACTAGTCTAATAAAAATAACTAAGTGAAAACAGATTATATCTTAATGAATACAGTAAAACTTTTCATTTCAGACTAACGAGGCTGATTTTGATGAACAACAAAAAATAGTAGTCGATTTTATTGGATCTAGGGAAAAGCAGAAAATTGTACTTGTTACCAATTTGTCAAAAGACAAGAAGTATAGGTAAGAATTTCGTCCAACAAGATTTATCGAAATTGAATTTTAACAATGTTTCAGCACAGAAAGTCAGTCTTATGCCGTTCCTGTTCCTTCTTTGGAATTCGCATCACTGTGTCTCCGGAACGCCTACCTACTTATACCGTCCGATACAACAACGCCTGCCCCTCTTTTCCTTATTCCTGGAGTAACTCCTCCCGCACCACCTCCTAGCCCGGGAGCCTCTCCATCCAATACTCTTTCTTCTGAAGGTATAGCTACATTAAGGAATGGAATATTGGTGGCCAGCGCTTACGTTTCACTATGTCTTGGAGATTATATTTTAGCTCTTGAATACTCTAAAGAACTTTTAGAACAACCAAAAATATCCGAGACACATCGGTGAATAATAATAATAATAATAGTTTTTTAATAAATAATAATTATATTTTTGTAGGTTACTTGCTAATTTATATGCTGCAGAATCATTGGTATTATTAGATAAGATCTCTGAAGCCTTGGAATACATCAATCCAGATAATATAAAAGATTTGTCTCACCATTTAGCACCGACAGATGAAGAAAAGTCTGAGGATGAAAAATTGAAAACAAAACCACCTCTAAGTAAATTTATCATATTTATGTACAAAAATTTAACAGTAATTCCTATTCAGGCAGTGAGTCACAAAAAGTTTTTTATATATGAATAAAAGTTGTATCTTACATTTCACAAAAAAAAATATTTGTGATAAAAAGGTTTGCATCGCTTGGGAATGCATAACAAAATATTAAATTATGTAAAATATAGACATATATAGGGAAAATAAAAATAATGATTTATAAAGAAGAGTAAAATATTTTTAAATTTCAATATAGAGCCAAAATATTAAAAATGTTGATAGGGACTAAATAATATGCTTAAGTTTAAATTATTACACTTGCTTTTAAGTTATTTCTCTTTACTCTCTTCATTAATTTGGATTTTTTTTTTAATTTTACATATTTAATGTTTGAATATGGGTTTCCAAGTGAAGCAGTTCATCCAGAATAATTTTTTTTGTGAAATGTAAAAAATAAACTTGTTTCCCATTTGTATTATACTTCTTGGTACACACTATTTACATTTTTAATTAACTGTGCTGATTCACATGCATAGAGTTTATACACAATTATTAGCTTCATTTATATCGATATTTTTGTTCTCACTTAACTTTTGGAATATTTTTTTTTTTCAAACTTTTTAAATTCAAATTATTTAGATTTACACATTAAATTATAATTTTTTACATTAAAGAATGGTTTCCAAACAATCTACAAAGTGCCTATTCAGTAATACAATACAATATTGCTGTAGCAAAGACTATAAGAGGCCAACTGGACCAAGCAGCTGTATTACTAAGACAGATATGGCAGAATAAAAGAACATCCAGAGTTCCTACACATATTATCATGTTATTTATTTACATTGAATTGCAGTTAGGTGAGAAAATTATTTATCATTTCAAATATTTTATGTTCATTCAATAATTTCATTTTGAAATGGAAATGATCCCTAAATCTTTATTTAATTTTTAGGACACACAGATATGGCAAAAAATTTAATACGACAGTACCAACATCGACTAACAGGATAATAATTGTTATATCCAACGAACATTTCAATCAAGATCCATTTATTTATTAATTCGATTAAATTTTTATCAATTTCCAGCTTTAATTTATATTTTCATTGATTTAAAAAAAAAAACGTACTATGGTTAATACTTTTTTTTATATAATTTTGTTTCAACTCGATAAAGAAAAGTGTAATCGATTAATTAAATATTTTAAAACATGTTGAAACATTTTATTTATTAATCTTTTGAAATAAAATTTAATTGTTTAGTCATTTAGAGAGTGTTCTATATAACACACGTATCGTGAAAAATGTAATGTTTCCAACACAGACTTTCCTGTCTAGTTACTACAGGCTTTTTCAGGTTATTTTGTACAACCTATTGTATCACATCTTGTAACAAGATGAACTAAATATATAATACATCTTACTTCATGGCCAACGAAAATACCGAAAAATGTAGATTTTACACTTTTCCATTACGGTCCTGTATGTGTCCAACGATTTCACGAAAGCGCGAAGTTCAGACCGGAGCGCTTAGGTAGTTATAGATTTTACAATTGGTACGGCCCTCTTGAAAACCGACTAATTTTCTTAATATTTTCATTATGCTTGTTCGACGATAAGTGCCCACCTACAAGAAATATTAAAGCCTCCACCAATAATTTCGCTGAGCAAATTTGTCTCTCCAACGTTTTAAAGTAGTACTTGAGTGGGTATGCACGTGACTTATTTTCTTATGGTTGATTTCTGGTGTATTTTCAAGTTTTGGTTGTGTGTTTAATAAAATTCACCGCCTCCACTAATTTCGCTGGACCATTTTTTCTCTCCAACGTTTTATTGTTTTAAAGTGATGCGTAAGTAGGTACACATGTGATTTACTTTTCATATTGGATGCTTGTATCAAAGAAAGATAGACATTATAGATTTTCACTGAATTAGTGTCCAATAAGAATATTGCTCCAACGAAAATGAAGAAATAAAAAAATAAATAATGGTTTTATACCGCGTGTTCAAATTAAAGTGTTACAGCTAAATACCGCCTTTTATCAAAAAAAAAAAAAAACGTTTCAGACGAAAGTTATATAGTTTCGTGGGGAAATTTTTTTTGGCTAAAATCATTTTTTATAGCAAACCATAATATGGCCAACTTTTTTTTCGCCCAGCAAAATTTTCAAGTAGCTGTTACTCAAAAAGTAAAAGTCCAATAAAAAAAATATTTCCATCAAAAGTTTTTTATTTTTTAATGTACTTTAAGAATATGTAAATAAAAAATGGAATTCCCATTAAAAAAAAAACAAAGTCCACCTCGGTATGTCCATATTATGGTCAGCTACAAAAAAATGAATTTAGCTAAAATGTTTCCCCCAAAAAACTACAAAACTTTTGTCTGAAACGGTTTTTTCTAAAATGCATATTTTCGGCGGTATTTAACTGTAACACTTTAATTTGAACACCCGGTATAACGCAATAACTTGACAAAATATTTTGGACCAGGTTTTAGGCCGTTGAGAGTGAATTCGCTCACGGAATTTAAAAAGCCATTTTGCTAGCCATTTTTAAAGTCTAAATTGTATTGTTAAATATAAAAAACAATGTGAATAATATATTTTTATTGAAAAATTTCGTAAAAGAATTAAACCAATATTTTAATAAAAGGTTGCCAAATTTAGCATTTATGAACCAGCACATTGAATATTACATAATGATGAAAATTTAAAAATCGGTGAATATTCAAATTTTCAGCGACCTTAAAACAACCCCTAATTCATTATTTACATCCATTTAGGCAAAAACTTTGTCAAGTTATTGCGTTTTATGTTTAAATGTTTCAAACATTATTTTCGTTGGACACGAGAAACGAACCAATATTTTTAATGGACACTATTCAGTGAAAAGGTATCTTTTTTTATCTTGCTTTGGTACAAGCGTCCACTTTTTGAAAATGTCACGCGCATGCTCACTTACGCAACACTTCAAAACGTTGGAGGAAAAATGGCCCAACGGAAACGGTGGAGGAAGTGAATTTTGTTAAAAACAACAAAAGCTAGAAATTAAACAAAAAACCAGTCATAAGAAAATACGTCACGCGTATGCATTATCACGCACTACTTTAAAACGTAGAAGAGAAAAAATGACCCACCGAAATTGATGGAGAGTTTAATATGTCTTGTAGGTGAGCACTTATCGTCAAATGAGCATAACGGAAATATTAAGAAAATAAGTTATTTTTTTTCGATTAATCGTAAAGAACCGATTAATCGAAAAGAATCGATTATTTATTTTGAAAATCTCCCAGCCCTATTAGTAAGGAGCAAAGCAAGAAATAATGGAAATTTTAAATAATAAATATGGAAATAGGTGGATAAATCTCGGGAAATATTAGTAGGCAATAATAATTAAATACAATACAAAGATTACTAGTTTCGGAAATAGATTGCTCAATCGCACAAGAAATCTTTCAATTTATTGAATTCCTAATTAAACAGCTTTTTTAAGATCAAATGAAAGCTATACGTTTTTACCAAATAAATACATTTTCACTCTTTTAAATATACTATAACAAAGCCCTCCATATTATCTCTACTTATAATATAATTTCTATATTTTTTTTTTGTATAATAAAATAATTTAAATGACTTTTTGGCCGCCTCATTTTTGAGACATAAAACCGAACTAATATATATATATATATATATATTTTATAAAACCTATCTACAGTATGTACAATGATCAGTAGATTCCACAATGAAGAATGGTATGATAGGAAAGGAAAAAACAGTCTATTTCAGTCCATTATGGAAATTTGGGCGTATCCCACAAGGGCTCTGTCATCTGGAACTTCATTGGGATGCAAAGGCGAATTCTAAAAACAAAAACTTACATTATTTAATTATATAAAAAAGAAAAGTTAAACAGTTTAGAAACCCATAATCAAGCAAGAACATTTTATGAGATTTTTTATTGTGAAATCGTAAGAAACACTTTTACTTATGTGTTTAAAACTTTTTGATACTGTTAATGGATATAAAAAGAAAATGATGATTAACACGAATACACACAATTTATATGAAATGAATAGGTGGTGCAGAATTATTAGGCATTCCAAATATTAAAAATGTATTCTCAAAAACTTTTTTAAATAAAGGCTCAACTTTTAAAAAACTCTGTATATTACAGTAATTGTATTGACGTAACTAAATATATGAAAAAAAAAAATATATATATATATATCAATTCAGAATGTTAAAAAATACATACCAATCGAAAAGTAACCACTTTTATAGTAGACCTCTGTTCGATTAATCTTTGGAGGTTAGAGGTAATGGCAACAATGTCATTACCATCTACGAGACCGGCGCCAACTAATTCGCTCGCTATGCCCTCCGCTGAATCTTTGCCGACAGCAAATTCGAATCGTATATCGTTTAATTCCCGTCTTGCATTCCTTAAAAAACACAAAAAAAAACGTCAATGATCTGAAGAATCAGCACGACAACTCAGATTCAAATGGGATTACGGAAAATAGGATTTAGAAAGGACAATACCGACCTGAAGGTATGGAACTGCCTGTGAGGTTCTCTAGGGACAAACAATAAAAAAAGGATCAAAACCGTCTTTTCTTTTTTTTTTAATTTCAATTTTACCTTACCTCATCCTGAGAACTAGATTCACTGGAGGCGCGTCGCCGCCATCAGTGGCCTCTTCGTGGTCCGAACCCGATGATCCCACCGAAATCAACGTGTTCATCGGTTTAGATTCCGTGTCGCTATCGCTGGAATCTCCAGCACCGTCTTCGTCTTCGCTGGACCACACCCATTCGCCAGTTTCTTTACGATGTAAGCGGCCCGAAGCTCCCGGCTGTCGCTTGGAAGCCTAAACAACGATATGATGTCAAAGCCAAATAAATTGACTGAATAAATAATAAAAATAAAAGAAATTAGAAAAAAATCCCAAAAATGTTCTATCTCTACCATTTTTCTTTGTAAGTTTAGGAATTTTAATTCAAAAAAGTCTACTTTAATTAGAATATACAAATTTTTTTCCTAACGCAACCAACGTGTACAGGGTGAATCAAAACTGAAATACATGATATTCTCATTTTTTTAAATGGAACACCTAGTATTTAATATATTTACAAAAAATTACTTTAATCATACGTTCATTTGAGTTAAACATTCCCCATCTTAAACGCAATATTTTAATTTAAAAAACATGAGACATAAAATGGTTGACAGAATAATAAAATTGTTGACTGATTAATAAAATGGTTGACTAAACAATAAAATAATTGACTGAATAATAAAATTTGGTTGAATGAATAACAAAATTGTTAACTGAAATTCATAAAATTGTTATTTATCTAATATGAATGCTTTCCAGGTGGATATTTTTCAACAAAAATGAGCAACTCTCAAAGTTTCCTTTCAGTGTACTTTCTTTACTGAATAAATTATTATTTATTGGCTTACTTTTTGTACCCTGGTCTCTAAACTTGGCCCAATAGCAACCAGAGTTGACTGTAGATATTTTTTATCTTTAGCCTTTTTAAAAAAAGTGTGTTTTAATAAATCAGCTGCAGTTGGCCTCTTGGAAGGTTCCTTTTGCAGACAATCTGTTATTAGTTTTCTAAAAGTTTTTCCGTAAGCCTAAAATTGATAAAAAAAAAATTAAAAAAATAAAATGTTTAAAATGATTTCCCTATGAAACTAAATAAAATAATAGGATATTTACCTTATACTGATCTTTTTCTTCAGCTCCCGTATCTAAATGAGGAGGATCGTTTTGTAGGGTTAACATAAGTACCTTCATTGGAGGGTATTTATGATACGGAGCTGTTCCAGTTGCCATTTCTATAGCCGTTATGCCGAACGACCAAATGTCTGCTTTAAAATCATAACCGTGATCCTAAAACAAATGTTGGTACATTCACAAGTATTAGAAGTAATTTTAAAAACAGACTTCAAAATCGTGCAGATGCCATCACCATACCTTAACCAAATTTATATGGCACCACCC